AAAAGTATGGAATTAGCACGAAGATAGGGCATAATATACTATAATTCAACCCAAAACACTTCACCGATGATTAACCTAATTATTTAAGAAACTTACTTTATGCTCGCTAGTTACGAATTCAGTGTAGTAAACGGTGAAAATAATCAAAATAATTAAATACCATTATGTCATATCAGTCTTCCCACCGGGCTGAAACGGTTGACAAATTGAAAGAATAAACTATAGTAGCAATTCGCCAATCGACATTGTTGTCGATAGCATACGTTAGTGGATCTGCACAAGCACAACACTAACTCATCGCAAGATACAGTGGTCGTACTACACGATGCATCCCCATAAATAAAGTATTGTTTTGTCATATTTACATTGCTTGTTCAGTCGCTTAGCGACATACATAAGTAGTGGTTAAGGAGCAATGTATTTACTACAAAATAGTACCGTCGCAGTGATATTTGAAAACAAAAATAACGCATTAAGAGAAAAAAATATTTTACGATTTGTTATTTTTCATGATTTTAAAGATAAAGATAGTAAAATACTTGTTCTTACATATGGTAAGTGATTCCATGATCTACAAAGACTTTGTTTTGGCTTCGGTTTTTACAAGAAACCACTGAATAACACGGCATTCTGATATTGTTTTACGATTACGGTTGAAAGTATACTAATACGCAGAGACGGCCGTTTAAATAGAACCTGAGCATTTTGATCATAGCGTGCGGACACAGACACGCCCCATTGCCACTTCTCCTCTATTTAATATTTCTATCAAAGATATTTTATAGGTCCAGATACCGTGTACGCGCAACTAAAACGCTTCCATTTCAAAGGCGCCAATATTGGCGTATTCGTTCGATCGTTCCGCCATTACGCCAGCGACGTTCGCTGTGAACATACGTCACGCACCGGTGTTTTTAATTTCGCAAAATGGCTGTTTGTGCTGTGAAATCATTTAAAAATTACTCTTGGAAAAAAGATAAGGATAAGAACATCACTTTTCATAAGTAACTATACAATTCTATGGTGTATTTCTTTGTTTTTACAAATAAAAAAGAATACGAAAGCTAAATGTCAATACAAGTAATAATACTGCGCAATAATATTCGAGTGTTGCCTAGTCTATGAAATGTTTTTACCATTTTTTAATGTCATGATCAACCACAAAGGTTATCTGTATAGGGGTTTTAAACAGTCTAATTTTACAGATTTTACCCAACCTATAGAGTTAAACCGTTTTAAGGGTTAGGGTTGAACTACATCTGGCAGCATGAAATTGCACTTTCCTGTGCTTCTATCCTTTTTGGTCACTCAGAACCGTTATAGTGTAACCGATATAGTTCCACCCTCAAAAAGCCGATTGTAAACCGGTTTTTAAAGTTTATCTATCATTCTTGACAATTCATACTAATATAATATTATAAATGTGAAAGTGTGATTTTTTTTTGTTTATTTGTTTTTGTCCTTCCTTCACGCAGCAACGGAACGGAGCAATTTAAAAAAATAAACATTTTGCTATCTCTTGGCTGAATTTTACGCTTAACCAAACTTACTTTTTTTCGTCATTTTACTTAGGATTGAAAAATAATTTAATGTCTTCGTAAAAAGTGTCAATATTTTGTGTTCTACAGTACAAAAGTGTAGTACTCTGTATATATTTAGTAATAATAGATTATAAATATATGTTACATATATAAATATCTACTGTGCTATTTTATTTATTTTAACTGTTACATTAATTATAGGTTTTTTTACATATCTTCAATATTTTAGTGCGATGTTCGTACCTACATAAAACACACATAAGCAATCATATCCCCATACACACACACACACAAATGCACACGCCACGCACACACATTTTATACTCTTTGAATCAATAGGTACGTCAATAGGAATGAAATATAAAATCTCCCACATTTTTTGGGTAATCGATTCGCACTGTTATTACCGAAGTCACGCACATTAATGCAGCCATGGTGCGTAAGATATGCGCGTCACGTGGTACTCACGCACACATGAATCAAAGACTGTCTTCATTATGAACGTTGCGGTGTGTTAGCAACACGGTATCTGGACCTATAAAACATCTTTGATTTCTATGTATGGAATAGAATTAAGTTTTCGTCGAGTTAAAAGGTTGCAGTTTCTTACAACTTGGTAAGGACTGTATTGTCTGTCTACGTTTGTGTACGAACGCGGAACCAAAGACGAACGTTAAGGACGACGACGCGACGAGTGAGAAAGATAGTTAAATCATTGAGTTCTCGACTGTATTTTCATAGGTGTATAGTAAAAAATCGGACCAAGTATGTACTTCGAAGACTGGATTGTGCAACGAAAACTGTTTGAACACAGAACGTAAAACGGTTTCATCGTTGCAGAACACAAAACGGTCTTTGTAAACAGTTCGTCGTCACAACGCCCACCCCTAATAAAACGTAACTTGATGAAATATAATATAATGTCGTGTCATTTGTCTATTTATATTTATCTTTCAGGCATGTCGATTGCCGACGTAACCAGAGTATTTATTTTCTACCATTCTCTACGCATTCTATCACGTAACTTTCAGTCAAGCCTTGCTGGCAGATTCGTGTAGAATCTACTAGTTAAGCCGCGTTTTCACTATGCGAGTTCTCTCGGACCGAGTGCACTCCTACGAGCTAAATCGTATAGGAGTCCTCTCTGAAGTTAGTTAACACGTTGCGAGTTCATCAGCGTCAAAGTAGCATTTAATTTGTCTCCTTGTACGTGATGACGACTGATCAGCTGCTGCGAGGTATAGAAGTTGTGGCAGATATGTTAATCACTGAAGTTCAAAATCATGAAAGGGAAAAAATCAAAGCAAGCAAAAAATTTGGGCCCGGAACTGGATTTTAAGACGTGACGAAATGGGTGCTTCAAATAATTTTATTCGTGAAGTGGAAGAGGAAGATAAAACCACTTTTAGAAATCATTTGAGATTAAACAGCGAACAATTTGAGTATCTGCTAGAAAAAGTAGCACCAAGAATACAGAAAGCAGATAGCCATTTGAGGAAAGCAATACCTGCTAAAGTTAAACTTCAAATAGTATTAAGGTATCTAGCTACAGGTGACAGTTTTCGTACCTTAGAAAGTCACTTTCGGGTACCAAAATACTCCATATCATCTATGTTTCTATCATCATCCATGTTTCTATTTTCGATGCTCTTTATGATGCATTAGAGGAATTTATACAGATCAGTAAAAAATAAACCATATTATTAATGTTTACTTTTATTTGAATTAAAGTAAGTGCTCACAACAATCAGACTGAAATTATAAAATAATAATACTTAGGCATTAAGTGCCTAATAAAAATAAAATTATTGTTCTGGTTTTTGAGTAATCCCACATATGCTTTTTATTGCTTGCTTTAATAAAGTGTTACTATTTTGTTCCTGGATTTAATTTTCTAATGCGTTGTTAGTTTCTAATGCTGAAGTGTCATCGTGATTCTGCTGTGGCAGAAACATAACAATATGTTCTGGTATTTCAATACAATATTCTGATTCATTGCATGAAGAGTCGGTTTGCGGAGGTCTTCGGAGAATAGATCTTTGAGGCATGACACAGATGTTGAGGCAAAGTTTTTTTTTATTTTTTTCTGCTTGATGGCACAACTAATTGAATATTGTCTGGTGTTCTTGTTGAAAAGATGGTTGATGGTGGATAAAATTGTAAAAGCAACATGTCTACATAATTGGCTCATGAAGACAGCCTTGCACCATTACGCACCGGCCAGAACGATGGACATGTATGATAGACCTGGTATGTGGAAACAAGAGCCTAGTTCACATTATCATTTTCTTAGTTAGCAGAACAACAAAGAAACAATTTTAAAAACTACTTCGTGAGAGAAGGTGCCGTCCCATGGCAGATTGACAGAATATTTTGAAATAACTTTGTTCTTATATTTTAAGGAGACATTACAATCAAATAAACTACTATATAATATTATTTATTGTTTTTATTATATTATAATGCTACCACATTCTGAAAACGTTTTCTGCTCTTGATTATACCACATAGAGTCTGCAATTTCGAACCACGCTAATGAGGGAACAAAAATATCATCAATGCCAGAGCCAGTCCCTTTAGATTTTTTAATTTTTGATTTTTCTTGCAAGTATGATATACTACGGATATTATTCATTTTGATATTCACTTCTTGAAACGTAGGTCCAGGTATGTTTAGGTTATGAATGATGCGTTGTATTGCAGCATTTCGGGCATCTTTGTTTTTATATTCTGTTAGTCTCACGTTCCACAACACTTCTTCCGCTTCATATAGTTCCACAAACCTCAGGGTGACACGTTCATTACACTTTTTTTTAGTTGACGCCATTTTGTCACCATAAAATTATCCGAGTGTCCTCGTAAAAATAGAACCACATCCGACTCCACTCTGATCGGATGACGCTGTCCGAGTACGCTCGGATTACGTGTTTTCACACCGCGAGTAGCGTCCGAGTAGGCATCCGAGCGCACTCGGTCCGAGAGTACTCGTATAGTGAAAACGCGTCATTAGTCTGTGGCTGGCAGCACTGCTTACTTTTGACAGAGGTTTTGGCGGGAACTTGACCGGCGGTGGTTTGCTGCTCTTGTATTATTGTTTAAGTAATGGTTTGAAGTGGACTTAGATATGTAAAAGTGGTGCGATTTTGTGTATTAAGTGTCTGCGCATGTGAATTATTAGTGGAAACTGTGAAACAAGTGCTCTGATGGTGATGTGATTCTCAAGATAAGGTGTCTGTCTGCTTAGGCGCCTTGAGATACCATCGCCAACCGTCAGCTGTTTGCTGGCTCAAGTTGCCGTCAAAATCTTCTAAGGGCTGCACATTGTGACGCATCAACATATTGTGAAGCAGTATAATATGAAGGATAATTATTATAATATATTGTAACTTCAGGCTCAGAAGGGCTAGATCCCAGAGCCGTAAAGCCAGTTATTAAGAAGAAGATTAAGAAGTTACTTTTGACATAAAAATAAAAACATTAAAAAAGTTACCTATAAAAGATTAGCTTTTTAATTACCTTTAGTTTTATTCTTTTCGGAGTTTGTTATTTTTCTGTTAAGATTAATTCAGGTTTACAAATTTACGAGTACATTGATGTATAAGAAATAACCGTTTAACGTGTAATATTCAAAGTGGATTAAAAATTTAATTCGCCAGCAGGTACTTTACCATGGATGATCCATTCGTTGTGTGCCCGTATAACTTTGCTCATCGTGTACATCGCTCGCGGATTCAAGCTCATATTGTAAAGTGTCAGCCAAACTACCCAGAACTTGACATATGCCCGTACAATGCTACACATCGGGTTCCAAAACTTGAAATTAGAAGTCATGTTCTAAACTGCCCATCTAAAAATGCTATATTTCCTCAAGACAAGCCTCCAAAACTAACAGGATCACTGACTACACCAAAACCTATTTTACAGAAGGATTATTTACCAGAGACTGACCCTAATCATGAAATATGGGATGACTGACGTGAAATGAAGTGTGATTATTTTATTTTAAGCATTACAACTATTTTGAATTTGTGATTTGTAAGATTTTAAGGTGATTGATGTTAAATGTTTAATGGACATTAAATGTTACATGTTAATTATATATTTTTGAAATATGCCTTTTTATTAAAATGCCGTAAAAACAGTAATATACAATGCAAAACAGCAATGATCTAACCCTTCTTTATTACATAGTTAAGCTTATTTCTCTATTCTCAGCCTCAAAAATGTTTGTGTTCTCATCCACTACAGCTTATAAAAGTCCACCACTTAACATAGAATTACCACATTTTGCCTCCTGGGGGGAATTTTCCATAGTTGGTTTTTTATTATTTTATGTTGTGGTTGTTGTGGCAATGTTTGTGGTATATTATCATCAGAGCTTTTGTTGGTGGGTACGGTAGATTCAAAATGTGGGTACATTTTTTAAGTTCACAGATTTTCATTCCAAGGAAAACAGAATCATGCTGAAAGTCCATCAATTTCGTTTCCTGTGCAGTGTCTATCCTGTCCTAAGCCGACTGATCACACTAAACGTCATGAAAAATTCATCATAATCATATTAGAAAAATATTACTTTTTATTTTTTAATTGTATGCAAGTCATCATGTAGTGGGGGATTAGGATTATACTGATAGTCCAATCATTTTCACTCTCTTTCCTGTCCCAATTAAAACAGACTGCTCACACTAAATGTATAATGCGATGGATGCAGGTGGTTCAGGACCGTGCCTTGTGGTATTCCTTGGGGAGGTCTATGTTCAGCAGTGGACTTTTAAAGGGCTGTAATGATAATGATGATGATTATGCTCACTAAATATTTCATTAAGAAAATCATTATAACTGTATGACAGAAGGAAGAAAAAGAGAGATAATGAACTCCTCTCACCTGAATATCCTCTTGTGTATTAGTTTTAAGTTCGAAGTTTCAGAAGTCTGATTTCATATTTTTATGTTATGTTGAAATGTTTACAATGTTGCAATATTAAAGAATAGCTGTCAAGATGTGTAGTAATTCTTACTCATCATCTTTGGCTGAAAAGGAGACTGGTTGATGTTCTTATTTGAGTTGAATCATTTCTATTATCGTCGGCTCGACCAAGGAAGGATAAACCTTCCTCGGTCGAGCCAACCAATTAGTGATACAACCATAATATACCTGCGACATGGCTCTACCATATATCAAAGATTTTATAGTTTTCACTCATGGAGGCAATGAACTAATTTTTATAATATAATACTGTGTCAACATGCTGGATATGTTATAAACTAAACTTAAATTTTATGACAAAATGTAAATGTGAGTACTGGGTTTTTTTTACCTATTATAAGTAAGTGCATGACTGCAGATTGAAAGACATATGCTGGCAGATTATTCACTCCTTTGCTGTATGCATTACGAAAGACGAAACAAATCGTTTGGTTAGTATGCATGGAATATTCGACAACAACCGCCAAAAGCTTGTTTGTCCAATTGTGTACAGCTCAATTTGTGCCCTAGTCTATTTAGGGCTCAACGCTCCGTGGCGTAGTGGCTTAGCAATGAGTTGCAGCGCTAAGGGCCGCGGGTTGGAATCCCGCACGGAACAAGTATTTGTATAGCCCACAAATAATTGTTCTGGATCTGGATGTTTGTCCTTGTGAAATCTATGTATGTAAACTGCCCCCGCAATACAGGAGAAAATCCTAGTGTGGAGGTAAGGATTTTTTAAAGATTAAAAGTAATTGAGAAATTGGAGATACAAAGTTTCATAGTATAATTTTTTTATTGTTTATTAATGACAAGGGTTTCTTCATTGCTTTAGTAAACAATACATCATAATTGCAATAAATCAGTTTGAGCAAACAACATCATTTATAAACGGGCAACGAAACTTACATTCTGCCCTTCCAACTGAATGTAAGTGCATTAGGCAGTTCAGAGTTCTACCATATAGACTTTTCTCACACAATTATAGAAATAAAACGCAAACATATAATAACAATTAGCTATTTATTAATAGTTTATTTGATACAATAAACAAGGCCAATCAAAGGAAGGTTAGCAAAACAATTTATTTTAATAAAAAGTAAAAACCGTAAAATAATTTCACATTCTGAATCCTTTCATTCTTCTATGCATTATGTCCAGGGCCTGATTGGCCCACCGGTGAAAACCTCTGGCGCAAGGACCGAGGGGTCGTTAAGCTTGTTTTTGCAAACATCACATATTGACAGAATAAATTTTATATAATATTTCTTATGGATCACTAATTTTTATTAGTGATCAATGAATAAAAGAGCAAGTGCCGCAAGCATTTTACTTGTAAAGAAATAGATTGTTATACGAGTGGCAAACTGAAATGATCGGGAATAGAATATTTCGGATTGAGTTACAATAAAACGTTTTTTAGAATTTGAATACTGGCCTCTTAGAATCTTAATGACATTCAAAAAATTAAAAAAAAAATGTTTAAAAACAAAAACTATGTTGGTTTAAAGTTCATACGTCGTTAACAGCAATGGAGCTCACGCGTGAACCATTCCGTGCCATAATTTATCACAATTTTCGTCGCGGCTTATCTCAAGATAAATGTCTCAGCGAACTTGTTTCGATTTATGATGTTGAAGCACTGAGTTAAACGACAATATACCGCTGGTATGCCGAGTTCCGACGCGGTCGTGTGTCGCTCAGCACTGTTTCTTCTGCAGGTCGACCAAGAACAGTGGTCATGCCTGAAAATATCGCAACTGTGCGAACTATTATATTAGATGACCGTCATGTGACATACGATCAGATTTGGGCTGTTATCAGTATCGGAATGACTGCAATTCAGTCGATATTACATAATGAGCTGTGTGTAAGAAAGCTAGTTTCCCGCTGAAGAGCAAAAGGCGGCTCGAGTAGATTGGTGCCGGAATACTCTGCAAAGCTTTAACGGAGGGAAGTCAAATGCCGTTTATAATATCGTCTCAGGTGAAGAATCATGGATTTATTCATACGAACCTGAAAGAAAACATCAGTCAGCAGGTTGGGTCTTCGAAGACGAGGTCAAACCAACGAGTGGTTCGGTCTCGCAGCGTGTCAAAGAAAATGGTCGCAACGTTTGTCTCGAAAAAAGGGCATGTTGCTATAATTCCTTTACAGGAAAGCAGAACGGTTACCGCTGAGTGGTATATCACGGTTTGTTTGCCAGAAATGTTAGCCGAACTCCGAAAAAATAACCCGAAACGTCGCATCATCTTACATCACGATAATGCGAGCTCTCATATGGCTCGGAAGACAAATTATTTTTTGAAGCAGGAAAACGTTGAGCTGATGAGCCATCTTCCGTACAGTACTGACCTGAGCCCAAACGATTTCTTTACATTCCCTAGAATGACAGATTTATTACGCGGTCAACGGTTTGAAGACCCCGAAGCAGCTGTTTAAGCGTACAAATCAGCCATTTTGTCTACATCAACTTCAGACTGGAATTACTGTTTTAATGATTGGTTTGCGCGAATGGAAAAGTGCATTAAGCTTCGAAAAACAATAAAATACAATTTAGCTATACCTTGCATGTGGTTTTTCTTATTCCCGATCATTTCAGTGTGCCCTTTGTAATAAGAATTTGAATTATTTGGTGCCTTTCCTCTATCGTCAAAGATTTTAAATTAATTGCTTAAGCTCTCTTCTTTACCTCTAATTTGATTAGTTACTACAAACCTTTTTTTTTTTTTACTTATTATAAGCCAATGCTTGACCACAATCCCACCTGATGGTAAGTGGTGATGCAGCCTTAGATGATAAATCGCACTGTCTTAGCGTAACAAAAGCCTATTCACTCTGGCCTTGAAGACGCCCAGATTGTATTCGGACGAAAAGATAGACGTTGGCAAATTATTCCACTCCTTTGCTGTACGCATTACAAAAGACTTGATAATAATTAATTAACATATAATTAAATATTTAAAAACTATATCTATACACATACTAATATTATAAATGCAAAATAAATCAGTCTGTCGTGACTGTCTGTCATTTGCTGAACAGATTTCAATTAGGCAAGGAGATACAGAAAGATCTTTTACTGCGGACAATACCTTATTCTCACGAGAAAATTTAATGTGGGCGAAACCCCAAGGATTTGGATTTTAAGTAAATTATAAAAATCTAGTAAGTATTATTAAATTGATATTCATGGTTCGGGCATTCACAGACAGGATAGACCGAGGTGAGGATGCACATATTCATATTTAGCCTAAGGCTGTTAGAATCCTAAATCAGGTGCTGACTATCTCTTAGCGCCAATTTCAAAATGTAAAATTATTTATTTTTATTTCTTAGAAGATAGTTTTTACTTTAAATATTTATACTTTTATGTTAATGTTCACGATTTCAAAAAGATTTTAAATTTTAGAATGGCTAAGAAATATATTATATTACATTACTTTATAAATATAATTTGAACATTTTTAAGTCATATTCATTGACTTGGAGTAGCGGCACGTAGTGACTTCTCCAAGTTCTTCAACGCAGGTGTGACGCTGGTGCCCAGGTCTTCGGCCACACTTGACAAGTATACTGAAAAATTAAAAGATTTTAAAAGTTATACTTTTATAGGCGCGTTTGAGAAAAATGATAAGAGTGAATTTTTTACGATGCGTACGCACACCGACACCTAAAAACGACACTATGAAGTTGTTACGATGCGCGCGCGCGCGGAAACCTAAAAGCGACAACTTCAGTTGGTAATTGTCTGTCAACTGTGTCAAGTTTTCGTGAGAACTCACAACTGTATTCAAGGTAGTTATTTACATATATATGAATATATAAATCGTGTTTTATTTTAGTTATTTTTGTTTTGTTACGCTAAAGATTCAGCCGACAGGGTGAGAAATAGTGTGATAAGAGAAAAGTGTGGTTTGCAAGATGATGTTGTGACTGTTAGGGTCCTGATGACGTGGTTAAATGAAAGTGGACTGTATATTCTTATAGGGCTGATATAATCATCCGTACTTTACAATAACCCGGTCTACTTAATAAAATTATTATTATAAATTAAATTAGTGTTGTCGTCCGACCGCGGTGGAGTATCGTCCCAACTTCCTGCCGCCGCGTCGCTGCCGCTCGACGAGACGTCCTCCCG